ATCACGAGAGGCCAAATTTACTTTTAGTGCCCCAAGATCAAATTCACTCGACCAGAGTAGAGGGAAGAGACTAGAAAGAGACCCTCTGTCCCCCGTCACGATGGGGGAAGTGTTATTTTGCAGAACTTTGGTTCAGCCACGCGTATATTCATGATTAAACCTGATGTAGATATATTTTTCTTTTTGTGGATTGTAATTTTTGTTTGTTTGTTTGTTTGAAGAACAAACACAAAGTTTGAGAAATACTGCCTTCCTGGATGTCCAGGAACACGCAATTCTATCATAGAAAGACATTGCAGGACAAGTGAACCGGACAAAAGGAGAGCTACAGAAATGTTTGCCGTGAGTCTGAGCACCAGGGGAAGGGGAAGGCCATAGGACAGGGGCTCGGTACCAAGGACGGACCTTAGCAGAGACAGGCTTTGTGTGGGTAGAGAGATTCGGACACCGTGAGGTTTGAGCCGGGGAGGCTGGGAATGCAGCTCAGAGGTAGGGCTGTCAGAGCAGCATTGAACACCCATCATGGGAAAGCTGTTGCCCTTCGAGCCCGAAGAATGAGATCTACCCCTGGGTGGAAACACGCCATTGCCTCCCTCCGTAGGAGTTCATGCAGTTGGCAAGCTAGCCACCCAGCCAGGGGCCAAGGGACCACCCTCAGGAAGGCAGGCTTGCCATAAACCATACTAAAGAGATTAAAGGAATACTTATCCATTTAATGAGATAACACAATTTTCCATCCCAGAATTCCAACCCTTAGTAGCAGACAGAGCTGTAGTCAAGCCTGCCTACTTTTCTGGTTTACTCAGAAAAGCACACCTTTAGTCCTGTCACTCGGGAGCCCTCGGCCCTGGGCTCCCTCCCTCTCGACACCAAAATAAACCAGACAGCGTTGGGGTGTTAGGGAGTCTGAAGCTGTGGAAGAACACTGAAGAACACAGCAGTCTTTCCCCTGGTGCTGCTGGGGACGCAGCCCAGGGCCTCACCCACGATAAGCAAGCACTCACTGCTGGGCCGGATCCCAGCCCTCCACCTTAACTCTTCCCTACTCACAGCCACAACACTAGAATGAGGCTGTTCCTGGAGTTTTTAGTTTCTGGAGGATTGTTGCAATTAATGATTTTTATTTATCTATCTATTTATTTATTTATTGCTTGTTTTCTCCTTTCTGTGTTTTTCTTTACTTTTTCTGACATTTCCTAAATGTTGAAGCTTCTGATCTTTTTTGTTTTGATTATAGTTAGTTAGTTAGTTAGTTAGTTGTGTGTGTGTGTGTGTGTGTGTGTGTGTGTGTGTGTTCATTCATGTGAGAGAGCACACCACGACACACATGTGGCAGTGTAGAAGTCGGACCTCACCGTCTACCACACAAGACCTGAGAACGAACTCAGGTCATCAGGCTTGGTGGCCAGTGCCTTTACCTGCTAAGCCACCACACTGCGGCCTCTCTTATTAATGCTTTAAATGAGTATCTAGGATAACAAGCTTCATTAGGAGATTTTCATCATGTATATCTACATATGTCATTATACTTGGCTCAAATTTGTTCCCAACATTTCTCCTCCTCCCTCTCCACATCCACAAAAGAAAACGAGATAGCTTGTCGTGACCCTTCTACTCTCCCTTTAGACCTCTTCCTCTTCTATAGTCCGCACGCATGCCACGTGTGTATGTAGTGTGTATATAGTGTATGTAGTGTGTATATAGTGTATGTAGTGTGCCACACATGAGGAAACGTGGTGTGTGTCTCCCCAAGCCTGGATTGATTCACTCAACATGGTGCGCTCCACGTCCATCCATTATTTTCCTGCAGAAGTTGATTTCCTCTTCTTTACAGCTCTGTGTCCACTGCTCTGTTGGTGGGCATCTAGGCTGGCTCCATGACCGGGTTAGTGTGAGTAACACAGTAACAAGCATGGCTGTCTGGACCTCTGTGGTGTGCTGACCTGGGTTCCGTCAGGTCTATTCCCGGGAGTGGCCTAGCTGGGTCATGTGGTAATTCTTAGTGTTCTGAGGACCCTCCAAACTGATTTCCATAGGAGCTGAACCACTTTGCATCCCTTCAGTAATTTAAATGGTTCCTCTTTCCCTGCGTCCTTGTCCTTGCCAGCATGTGCTGTCAGGGTCATTTGGCTGCTGCTGTGGTCGCCACTGCTGCGGCCTCCTCTGCTCCTCCCCCTCCCCCTCTGCCCCTCCCCCTCTGCCCCTCCTCCCCTGCCCCTCCTCCTCTGCCCCTGCCCCTCCCCCTTCCCCCTTTGCCTCTCCCCCTCTGTTCCTCCCCCTCCCCCTCTGCTCCTCCCCCTCCCCCTCTGCCCCTCCCCCTCTGCCCCTCCTCCCCTGCCCCTCCTCCTCTGCCCCTGCCCCTCCCCCTTCCCCCTTTGCCTCTCCCCCTCTGCTCCTCCCCCTCCCCCTCTGCTTTTCCTTTGTCTAGCTTCTTTAGGAATTTTTATTAGAAGGGAGGATTTGGGAGAGGGTGTTTATTATTTTTTGGTTTGATTTGTTTTAATTATTATTTTGCTTTTTGAGACAGACTATCACTGTAGCCCAGGCTAGCCTAGAACTCTTGCTCTTCCTGCCTCTACCTCCTAAGTGCCGCCCCGGCCAGTCTTCACGTCTCCTCTTGCTAACTCCCCTATCTCCTTCTCCTGTGGTGTTCTTAAATTTCCAGTATGTTTTGCAGTAACGTTATCGTCTAACCTTTCTGGTTTTTTGTTTGTTTTTTTTTTTTTCATATCAGTTAGCAGATTTTAAAAGATTATTTATTCATTTTTTAATTATGTGTATGTGAGTTGGGGTACCCCCGGAGTCCAGAGGCATTGGATCCCCTGCACCTGTAATTACAGAGAGTTGTGAGCTGCCCAACATGGGTGCTGGGATCGAAACTTGGGTCCTCTGCAATAGCAGTCACACTCTTCATACTGAGCCACCTCTCCAGCGCCCCGTAGTTCGTTTTCTCTCTTTTTTTAATCTCCAAAAGCTTTTTGATCTCTTGGTGTTCTATGTTTTTTTTTTGTGTGTGGTGTTTCCAGTATTCTGAGGTACAATAGCTTCTTTATCTCCCTCAGATTATCAGTCATAAAATTTCTTTGTTGTTTGGTAGTAGTGGTTTTGCTTTGAGACTGCATGTCATGTAGCCCAGGCTGGCCTTCATCTTGTTATGTAGCTGAGGATAACCTTGAACTCCTATTCTGTCTCCACCTCCCAAGTGCTACAGTTACAGGCATTCGCTATCCCTTCCTACAAGATTTTTAAATAACTTTTGATATTCTACATTTACAAAAACCTCAAAATCAGCCAAGTGTAGGGCACACGCCTGTAATTCCAGTGCTCAGGGGAGGGAGCAGAGGCAGGTGGATTTGTGAGTTTGAGGCCAGCCTGGTCTACAGTGTGAGTTCCTGCATCTATGGTTCTTCATATGGAGTCCGTCTCTACACCATCACCACCCACTCGGGGGAGTTCCTTGCCACTTTGAGCTCCTCTGTGCTCCTCACTGTGTCTCCTGACTCCCCAGGAAGAAGTCTCCTATGAGGAGAGAGCCTGTGAAGGAGGGAAGTTTGCCACTGTGGAAGTCACAGACAAGCCTGTGGACGAGGCTCTCCGGGAAGCAATGCCCAAGATCATGAAGTATGTGGGCGGCACCAACGACAAGGGTGAGCACCCCGAGGTACAAGGCTCTGTGTGAGCTCATGTCATCCCAGGGAATTTCAGGGAGTGGCTATAGACACTGTTATGCCCAGATCGCAAGGACCCCCAAAAGACCACCACGGAGACCAAATCCCACATGTAAAAGCAAAGAGCCTTTATTTCAAGCTCCAGAGCTTGGTTCCTCTGTCTGTCCGACACAGGTGAGAGCAGAGAGCCCTGAGCTCAGGTGGGGCAGAGTTTTTATCACAGCAGAGGTTGGGGTGAGGGGATTTCCAGGGTCCAGGACCCTGACTGGCTGACAATTGTCTAGGGGTATCTGTAAAACAAAAAATAGGTGTGTGCTAGACTCAAGGACATCTGGTCACCTTATCTAATGGTTGGAATGTTTGGGATGCCAGGTACTTCCTCACCCCTAGGTATATCCCTGGGTGGTATCAGCTTAAGGCTTTTCCTGGATCTGGGTGTTGCCTGCCAGTAAGCCTGTCACAGAGTGGTGTCTAGGCCCCTAAGCCTGTCATGGCTGCTGGGTGGTCAAGCTGTTTTGGGGCCCCTTCACAACACCTGGACCTGCCTATTCCAATGTTATGTGCACGAAGATCGCTCTGATGTCAGCCCAGCCTGCCTTACTGTGTGATGTACATGTTCTCTGTCACTCAATTCGTGGTTCTTTCCAAGTACGGAGCCGAGGCTCGCTCTTTTGTTTGATTGTTCACTGGGTCCTTGGATTGGGTGAACGGGCAAAGCACACCCATAGCAAGCTGAGTTCTGTGCAAGGCATGATTGTCACCTGACTGGAAACTGCTGGCACTGGGCTGGAAACCTGTCAGACTGTTAGCTGCAAAGGCCCAGGGAGCTGTGAGTGTAGCAGCCTCAGACTCAGTTCTGGTGGCTGAAGATCTGTGAACTCTAAGCCATTCCTGGCTTTAGGACATAGCAGCCCCTGCTGGCTGCCCCCTCCTCCAGCCCCATTTCTGAAAAGATTATCATATTCCTATCTCCAGGATACAAAAGTAAGAGTTATTTTCATAACTCTAATTAGATATTTTTAGTGCCTGAAATGTTTGTTGCTCATTTCAAAAAAAAAAAATTGCTTGGAAGAGAAATTAAATCCATGGCCCTCGGAGGCTCGGTCTAACGCCTGCTCCCCTCTGTGTTCCGATGTCTTCAGGAATTGGCATGGGCATGACAGTCCCCATTTCTTTTGCCGTGTTTCCCAATGAAGATGGCTCCCTACAGAAGAAACTGAAAGTCTGGTTCCGGATTCCGAACCAGTTTCAAAGCAGCCCACCGGTTCCCAGTGACGAGAGCGTGAAGATCGAGGATCGGGAGGGCATCACTGTCTATTCCACGTAAGGAGACGGGTCTTAGCATCCTCCGATAGCGCTTGAGGTCGCAGCCACTTGGGTCTTCTCAGGGAACGTTTATATTGGCTGTTCACTGTTGCTGAATCGTGACAGTAGCCCACTTTAACTCCTTCAGGCCGTAGCGCACATGCATTTGCAGCTCATCTGGATAAATGCCTGGGCCTGTTGCAGTATTAATAGGTAGAAAGAGTCGCCCTTAGCCTAAGCCTAAGATGAATACCCACCCGCATTATCCATTGCAGGGTGTTAGAAAAATCAAGGGATATATAAGTCAATTGTAGTTTGGGCTCACAGATACATGGGAATATAACAACTGGGGGACACGATTTACACCCCACACTTCCTTTGAATGTGGAAGGGGAGGGAGTGTTTGTCAGAGCTGAACAGCCTCCACCCCGACCCCACCCACTTATTCCTGGTCTGTAGTCCTTTAAGCAAAGGACACATCCACTCTCTTGTCCTTCTGGTCCTGTCTCAAGGATTCCTTTGCAGTTACATTTCTTCACTATAGAAAGCAGTGGGGGCAAACTGTTGCCTGCTTCTGTTTTACTTTGTTTTGTTTTCTTGAAGCTGGGAATTGAACCCAGAACTCCATACATGCTAAGCTTGTACTCTGCCCCAAGCTACTCACATCCCGAGCCTGGTGCATGGTCCCTAGCCTGCCCTGCAAGTCAAGTCTCTTAGATAACTGGTGACCCTGTTTGTCTAAATCCCACTGCATACCGGACATCTAACCCGGTTCAGAGGACCGGGATCTTCTTCAGGACTAACCATAGGTTGGGGGTTGGGTTCTGCTCAAGACCAACTTCGTGAAAATTAACTAACAAATGATCTTGTGCTACAGTTTCTCTCCACTGCAAGCCCCCCAACCCATACAAAGTTGGCCAATAGGCTCCCCTGTTCCAATTCCTCTGAAGGTGGGACTTCCTTCCCCAGAGCTAGCTTAGACTCATTCCTTAGAAGGCTGGAGTGTGAGCCTGCCTGCAGTGGGCGCTCTTTGGCTGGGTGAGCAGAGCGCCCCCCAGAGGACAGAGGTGTAATGCAGCCATGCTGCGCCCAGGGAACCCTCAAGTCCTGTTTCTTTCTGCCCCAGTCCTCATTCAGACTCCCAGCCTCTGTGCAGAGGCTTCTGAGAACTCTAAGAGGAGTCAGGACTAAGGGAGGTCACTAAGGGACCCTGGATGCAAAATTTAAGGAAGCTCTGACTCCTACGGTCACCACACAGCTCGGGATGTGAGTAGCTCGGGGCAGAGTACAAGCTTAGGGTGAGCCCCGAGAGTAAGAGCCTCCTTAAATCTCATGCCCCGGATGTCTACTGGTCTCACTGTCATCCCCAGCTCTGTCTTGCCCATTTCGGCAGTTTGAGAGGTGGCCTGGTGCAAAGTATAAGCTGCTATTATGTAGTATGATTCTCAGTTCTGCTGCAGAACAGCAAGATATGCTTTAGAAGTTACTAAGCCTCTTTAAGGCTTAGCTCCCCATCAGTTAAGCTGACATAACCAGCATCCTGGGGTTCCTGCGAAAGGCTACCTGCTCGTAAGTCACTTAATGCTGAGACCTGTTATTCCTTATCTAGTCTGTCTTATCTGAAGACGGACACACTTGAGTCAGTTCACCCCTTACCCCAGCTCCAGCGCGTGTCCTTTATCCTTCGGTCCAGTCCTCCCGCAGAACCCGAGTCTCTTCTAAGTGATTGGTGACTCTGAATGTGTTAAAATCCCAGTGTGGCAGGTACCCGACCACGAACAGAGGAGGGCGAGCATCTTCGGCAGTGGCAGTCACAGTTGCAGATGTGGCTCACCACTAACCATTTGTTCATCCAGACTCAGAATAATGAGTTGGTACTGTGTTAGTTACTTTTCTGTTGTTGGGATAAATCCCATGGCCAGAAGTGGCTTGTGGAGGAAAGAGTTTATTTTGTCAAAGGTTCCAGGGGGAGAGTCCATAAATGGTGGGTGATGCATGGCAGCAGGAGGTGGGAGTTAGAAGCTGAGAGAAGGCAACCTCAACAGAAAACACAAAACAGAGAGAGGAAAGAGGATGCGGCAAGACCGTCAACTCCTAGAATCCGAATCCAGTGACATCCTTCCTCCGGCAAAGTTTCATAATGTCCCCAAACAGCACCACTAACTGGGGACCAAGTGTTGAAATAGCTGAGCCTCTGGGGGACAGTGTGCACCCAAACCACCACAGTATAATTGCTTTTGTCCCTAAATATTTTGTGGAAAGTCTCATGCTAAGCACGCTCTACTACTGAGCGGTACCTCAGCCACCTATGAAAGATAGAGAGCAAAAGATAGTGGACGTTTGCACCCACCGCTCACCATGGAGGAGAGCAAAAGATAGTGAAACCATTTGCACCCCCCACTCACCATGGATGGTCAACTCAGGGACAGTTTCCTGTCATACAGTGACAGGGAAAACACCCTAAACTACTTGTTTGAGTCATTCCGGGCATTATATGATTTCATCCATTATATGATTTATCCATAAATATTTTAATGGGACTACTGAATATTTTTTAAAAATATAATCATAATACTATACTACTTCTCAATGTTAACAGTAATCTGTTAAATTCTAGTAATATAAACTAGTTATTTATCTAGATATTTATTTGTTTATTTAATTACTTATTTATTTTGGTGCTTGAGGCAGGGTCTCATCATGTATTCCAAGCTGGCCTTGAGTTGTGGGATTCCAGGCATACATGACCATGACTGACTGACCCATCATTTTATAGTTCATTTTTAAGGTTTATTTAAACCCGTGCATGCTTTGTGAGTTGTTATTGTCTGTGTGTGGTATGTGTTCATGACTGTGGGCATGCTTGTTCCACACGTGTTGGAGGTCAGAGAACAACTTCTGGTAGTCCTCTCCTTCTGATGCTGGTTTGGGGGATCAAACTCGGGTCATCAGGTTCTTACGGCAAACGCTTTTACCTGAAAGAGCCATCTGGCCCCGATCAGTCAGTTTTCAGTTTTTTCTCCACACCACAGAATGTATTCAGTTGCTCTTGTGGTTGGTGGATCACTGCCCCGTTGTTTCCCAAAAGTCTCCATCTTCCTGCTTGCATCTATGCGGCATTTTAACACGTCTCTTTGCCCCATGTTGCCTGTAGACTGGTATTTGGTCCTAGAGATGCATTCAGATTGAGGCTTTGGAGTTTGGAGTAAAAGTATTTCCTAGGTGCTTAGCCCTGTTAGGGGCTCCCATGTCTCTAGGTACTGAGTTCTGGTGGGCTCCTGTGTCTAGGTACTGAGTCCTGGTGGGCTCCTGTGTCTCTAGGTACTGAGT